ATTATAGAAAAGAAAAATTTTTTAAAGCCTATATCTTGAAAGAAGTTGTTACTTCTTAAAATAGTTTTCAGGAAAAGCAAGTCAACTGGCCAGGAAAGTAATGAGATAAAAGATAATATTTGAAAAAAAAGAAAGACAAAAAAAAAAAACTTTATAAAAAAAAAATCTAACTTTGACAAGAAAAAAAAGATAGGGGAAAGAGGAAATATGTTATAAAAGGATTTGTAGAAGAAAAGGGAAAAAGTAAGAAAGAGGAAAAGACTTTCAATGTTTTATTTTATTACTTTTGTAATTAAAAAATTTTACAATGAAGTTTTAAGGTTTGCACGGTTTTGGAAATGATCAGAGGTTGAATCCATATAAAAACTGGTTTCTATGTCAAAAAGATTCTTTACCTAATATACATTCGATGGATCCGTATACAGGTAAAACTCCATTATTGTGTTCAAATTCATGAATTTACATAAACTTATTTTTATTAGATCGAGACCCCGAGTACCGTGATACAATACTAGAATCACTAATTCCAATACCATCGGTCGAAACCTGCCCACCTTTGCAACAGTTTTATCAAAATCGACCAAATCGAAATCACGAAGGTCGACATTCTAATCACGAAGGTCGATATTCTAATCACGAAGGTCGATATTCTAATCACGACGAAGGTCGATATTCTAATCACGAAGGTCGACATTCTAATCACGAAGGCTCTGGTCATCGGGGTTCTGATTATCGAGATAAACGGGATTCCAATTATCGAGATTCTAATAATACCCATCATAACCCTTCTCACCATTCTTTACCTCCGAACCCTTTTGCCGCACCGCATCCCACTCACAATGTCTCTGATGCTCGCTTAAATCCTAAACGATCAAAAATAGAATTACCTAATCAGAAGGTCAGTTTTTTAGCGTGTCAGATAAATGAGCCAATATCAGGATTAAATATGAAAATAGGACCGGTAAGAAACTATTTGTTGTTAAGAAATGATTAAACATGGTTCATGAATTTCACAATTCACTTTAATCCAAAGATCTTAGAGCCGGATTATAATCAATTCTGTATGAAAGAAATAGTGGAAAGCCTTCTTGAAGAAAAGGTAAGATACATTAATGACAAAGTTTAATTCGTAAATTTATAATTTATTTATAATTTATAGGGACGCCTTACTGATATCCCACACCAACAATTAACGGCAGCTCGTGGGAAATCAAACCCTTACGAAAAAGTTGGCGATTCAATTTTCATGAACCGTGCTGCTATGAAATTAGCCTGCCTAGATGCGCAGGTAGGCCTTACCGGAATTAAGAGGTATGATCCAGTTAAAGATTTGGTGAGTAAATGTCAGTTAAAATTTTAAATATTGTAACTTGGTTACTCGAAATGATGCATCCGACTATTTAAATCTTCTCAGGAATTTCGTTTCGCTGACTTATGCGGTGGGCCAGGAGGGTTCGCAGGTTGTTTGTTATTTTATTTACCATTTTTTAAGAAAAAAAAACCTATTTTAGTCAAGGAATTTTGCCAATCACTATCTTTTCTTCCTAGAATACTTATTATGGAGGAAAAATTCATTAGGAGAACGAATTTTTGGATGGGGAATCACATTGACTGGGGAACAAGATTATGATCTCAATAGGTTTAATCCTGATTCTATGGTAAATTTTTGTTTTAAGAGGGTCTATGGTAAAGATAAGACAGGTATCAACTTCGTTATTTTGTATTTAATTGTTTTACACTTAATGGCCACTAAGATATTTTTTGGTTTGTTTAATTTGATGATTTACTATAGGTGATCTATACAAAGAAGAAAATATCAATCAGTTCGTTAACATTGTGATGGAGGATACAAAGGGAGTTGGTGTAGATTTGATTACAGCCGATGGCGTAAGTCAGATGGTGCACATAATTCTTTTATCTATTA